AGGAATGGGTAGATAGTTATTTCAAGAGGCATAATGAAACAGTAATATCACGCATTTCATTATGTGCCAGAACACAAAAGGTAACATAATATTCTTATTAGATTGTTAGGCTTGCCATGAACTTCATCATAGGTATTAAATTATACACAACAATCACTTCCTTTCACGTATAGGCCCTGCTTCATGTCTCGTATCAGTAGTGAGATCAGAAGCAAAAGTTTTTGCCATCTGACTGCTGTTCTGTAGTCAGTGTGAAATGACTTCAAAGCCTTTAAATGCCATATTTACTTGAAGATGAGGTGAGGTTTTTTCTCCATTCAGCACTGTGTGAAGGAAAAGTCCCTTATCTTGGACTTGAGTAAGGGGCAGTGGGAGAAACGGGGGAGGGAGAGGAGGTGGCTGCTGCGGCTCCAACTCCAGTCCCAACCTGGGCTCGTGGTCAGATTTGGAGTTGGAGCCACAGCAACTGCATCCCTCTCCTGTCTCCCTTGCAGCCTCTGCCCTGCCCTGCCACTTACCATCAGTCATAGCTCCAGCCCCATTCCAGCCTGGGGCACACAGCACATGGTAGCTCTGTCCTCAGCCCAGCCACTCAGCAGGTGGGCAGGTGACAGGGGCTGCAGGAACCATGGCAGGTGCCAGGAGGCACATATACAGGGGAGGCAGGTAAAGGGGAGCACGTGGCAGGGGGAGGTGACGGGAGTACAGGTACGGGGGGCAGGCATCAGGGGAGTGTGTCAGAGGGTACTGGGGCCAAGGCATGCAGGAATCACATGGGTGGGGGACAGAAGGCAGGGGGACAAGTGGAGAGCAAGGGGCAAGGCCCCCACCTGCTCCACACCTACTGCTTTCCCCAGTGTAGCGGGGGGGGATGCAAATTTAAGATGACTCTCCAATCAGTAGATTCTATACATGGAAAATTATATCAGATTTCAATTTTCTATGTATACAATCTAATTATTGGGGGGTTGTTTTAAATTCACTCATCTTGGATTCAGGTTAAAATATGGTACTTCACAAACACAGTTATGCATGATGATACCCATCCTACAGATGGAAAATGGAGAGGCAAAGAAGTTAGTTGATGTGATTTGACCAAGGGCATTAGGGTTCACAACAGCGTTAGACCTAGCAGGCGTCAGAACCAGAGGGATTGCAGGTATGAACAGCAGGGTGGAAGCAACTGAGTACAACCCCAAGTTCCAAACTATGGGCCAGGTCCAAAACCAAGAGTCCAAAACTAAGCCAGAGGACTAACTGGAATGAGGAGGTCAGCTAGCAAGCCAAAGTCCAAACACTAAGTCAGAGGATTAACAAGATTCAAGGGTCAGAAAACCAGAGCAATTAATGAGACAGGAGCCGCGTAAAGACTGAAGACGAGAAAGTTGTGAATTCAGGACTCAGGTGTTAGAAGAGCTCCTTAAAAGCAGCTCCAGAATCAGAGGAAAGGGCCTGGGGCTCAGCTGGCTCTGCATATTGCACTAAGTGCATCTTGACCTAGTTGCACAGACTGCAGGGCAGAAACCTGACCAAGGGTGTACAGCAAACCAGTTTCTAAAACACAAATTTTTGCTAAGCCCTGATTCCAACCATGATGTCAAGTTTCCTTCAGGAGATCAAACCTTAACGTCTGTCCTTGGTCTCAGTCCATAGAAGAAAACCAACATTAGCCCAGTACAGGGAAGTTTACTGATGTGGCAGTGCTGTTCAGTTTAGTGTCGAATTCTTTTATTTACAATCTATTTGGTTGATGGAGGTGTCTGTCCCCAAAGACGGTGCCTACATATCTCTGTCACATCAAGGATTTGGTTTAAACTGTACAGGGGAATCCTGAACAATACTAGAAACCAGGGATATGGTCCATCTCAGAGACTCTAATCATTAGTCTGGCTTTTGTTCATCTTGTTCATCAGCCCTCAGTTAGGGGCTGATCAGTATAGGTCAATGGCACTCAAGCTTTTTGTTCCTCAGGCCAGGTGAGTGGTAGAGGGATGGTCCTTGGGCTAGATCAAGCCCTGTGTGCCAGGATCAGAACCCATGGGCCTTGGCGAGCCCTAAGCGTGGAGACTGGGCTCTGGAGCCTGGTGCACCCTGTGTGCTAGGACTGAATCCTGGGACCTGGCATCACTCCTGCCTAACCCTGCGCACTGGGATCAGGCACCTGAAGCAGCACACAGGACCCAGGGATGGTGTCACTGGCCCCCTATTGCCAAATTTCAGGACCCACAAGGAGTCCCATGGGCTAGATGACATAGCATCGGGGTCTGGATCTGCCCACAGCCTGGGGGTTGGGGAGTTTGCATCTGGCATAGGCTGGTCCAAATTGAGCCTAAGGTCCAACTTGTATTGTGTAGGCTTAGAGTCTAGTAGTAAGAAGACTGGGAAAAAGTTTTTTGGGAGAACTGCGGGTCATTCTTTAGTCTGCACCAGCTTCAGCTTCTTTTCCTCCATATACAGGCCCCAGAACCCATGTGCAGATCTAATGTGGCATGACCTGACCATGGATTGGGCACAAACAGTTATGTGTAACCACCAACCTTTCACTCGCACATATCACTGGGTTTCTACCTCTGTGTCAGCTGTACACTAAATTTCTCCCTAAACATTTGGCAAACAAAATCATTTACTTGGAAATGTGCACCGAACATAATGGCCGTATGTTATGCTTTTGTACTCTTTGTTAGGGAATACATTGTTTGGGTGTGAATTGATTCACTGGGAGTGAGGAACTAGTTCCAGTTACTGTAAGAAGGAATTTTTTTAATATAATAAATAATTGGTAAGAAATATTAGCATAAATATCTTGACAGAAGAAATATTGGGGAGGGAAGATAGCATTTATTTGTTGAAGTTGATGTGGAAATGGTAAATGCTGGAATACAAAATCACTGTGATACTCACACACTACAGATGTCCGACAAAATATTTTCATTGTAGTTGTCTGTCTTGACTCTTCATAAAACCTCATCCACTGCCACTAACATTTACCCATGTTTCAGTACAACATTTCTAACTGCTGTGGGCTGTGGCCAAGGGATTAAACTCAGTCTGGGAAAGGGCCAAGTTATATTTTAAATTATAGTTTGTGGGCCAAGTCTACAAAGCCAGGATTGTGCACCATCCTGCTGTGTCACAGCAGGTCTTCTGCTCATCACAGTGAGAGGCTTTGGCCTAGTGTACTCTACATTGCAATTCTTCTGGCAAAACTTCAAGCATATACATGCTCCAAGTTCCTCTGTGGTCGCAGAAAATGCCTTCCTGCTGGCAAAGTTAAAACACCTCTGCTGAGCAGAATAAAGCTGCTATAGGCATTCAGTAGCTAGCAGAAGGCATGTATAGACACTTCCGAGCCTTCTACTGGCTACCATGACCCCCTCAATGGTTCTTGCCTTTCCAGGATGTGCTTTCTCTCTGTCAGCCCAGCTGCTAAGTGGAGTCCTGTGGAGATGCCAGAAACTCCTAAATAAACATGTCTTGCTAGTGCGGCAGCGACAGCTGCTGTCTACCCTTAGTACAGGCCTTCCACAAAAATTCAGGAAAGAAAGTTGTTCATAGAAAATAACCAAACTTCTTGTATGTGAAGTTGATGCTTTGTTCACCATATCTCAGTAGGACTAAAGAATTCAGGCACTTCGTGGATCTCACCATTTCTGCAGTTTAGTTGTTTGCACATGAAATTGCATACTCTGTGCACAGAATTACAGCAGTGACCTTACATTATTTAGGCAGGGGACATGAGAGGAATGAAGCGGCTAGTAAGTGTTTAAGCTGTTGTGTCCAGTTATCTGCCATCTCAGGAAGACAACTGTGTATTGGGTTTTTTTATTGGTTTACACTTACTTTGTGGTTGGAGAGATTTTAGTGCAATGGCAAGGGCTAGAAATGTTTTTAATGAAAAGTTTTCTGGTGAATCTTAATCTGACATGAAGGGTGGGCAGATTAGCATTGTAAGTAGGTTAATTTCAGCCCCTATAACTTCCTCTGGATGTCATGCCATGGTTCAGTGTCTGACAGCACTGACCTATGGCATGACATCTGGCTAAAGGTCTCAGGGGCTGAACATGGGGAAAAGTCACTGGTTAAGGACATGGGGCAGCTCACATGAAACGTATCAACTAACTGCCAAATCCATCAGCAGTATGAGTGTCGCAGAAGATATCCATAAACACTCAGATAGAGAGACTTAAGATGCAGTGACAGAGGAAGGAAGAAAAGATGATCAGACTAAAATAAACAAGTGAATCAGAAACAAAGAACAGCACCAATTCAATATATAAGATCCCGTATCAGTGTGCCCTGAATTACACATCATTTTCTCTGTGTCCTTTTGTATCTCAGGTTCAGGTTCAGTGGTCGGATCCTTGGCCTCGCTCTCATTCATCAGTACCTTCTCGATGCTTTCTTCACAAGGCCGTTCTACAAAGCACTGCTGAGGTTGTAAGTATCTGAATAAATCCTGATCCTGCTATGATCTCTACCCAGGCAGACACTCGTGGGGTTCATTGAATATTGGCACCTTCAAGTTCTTTCCTCGATTGGTTGGTTGGTAATTGTTGAGGTAGAATGGCAAAGACTTAATAATTGCTCTGGATTTTTCTCTCAAACCTTCCTATACATTAATATTAGCAGCTTAAATTAAAAAAATAGTGAGTAGTATGGTTAGGCACCCACTTTTGAAAACGTTAGTCAATATAGCTAAGGTCTATTATAAAAATAGTGTCTAAACAGTATAAATAGAATGAAAGTAATCAAAATGCTGTGGGACAAACCTGAGAGGATCATATTTTTCTGTAAAACAACAAAATTATTCTCCTTACATGTCAATGCAAAGAGACGTAATTACCAATTGGCATAGCTATATTGCTAAGATACTTTCACCCTATGCGCTTGTTAATGACAGCTATTAATATAGGTAGAAAATATTATAGTCTTCATATGGGTTTTGCTTATCTTACTACAGTAACAATCAGGAGTGGCCTTGATACTTAATATCAACCAAAATATAAAATTGATTTGATGTTTTAATTGATCTTCTGTTCCTCTCTAATCAATTTGATACAGTAAAAAAAAAAGCTGTATACAACAGATCACATTTCAGTCAAATGAACTTAGGTGTATTAACAGGTGATAACTCAAACTAATGTTTAGTTTAAATTGTTTATTAGTTAGGATGAATGTAAAGCTTTAGTGATGATTATTTTAATACTACTTAAAAGCTTTAAAATATACTTGACTTTCTTTTACTGATATTTAATATTACTGTGGTCCTAACACTTTCAGTCTGCTGTTGAAAAGAAGGTACCTGCAGCAGGCTGTAAGGTCGAAGGAGCATCAGCTGCAGGATGTTCTGAGCTATAAACTATCATTCCACAAAGTTTTATCTTCATCTCTGTTTCTCTGCCTCACCACTCAGGCCATGTGATTTAAGTGACTTAGAATACTTGGATGAGGAGTTCCACCAGAGCTTACAGTGGATGAAGGACAACATCATCACAGATATCCTGGATCTTACTTTTACAGTGAATGAGGAGGTGTTTGGACAGGTGGGTAAAAGTAGGGAAAAATCTAAAAAATGGATTGGGAGTAGATAAAGTCACACACAAAGAATATAATTATGTCTGAACAGATTCTTAGCAAATGTTCAATGGCTGTTCAGTACCATTTTTGTCTCCTGCCTGATGTTCCTTACAAGCCACCTGTTTTGGTGCGCACAGTCTCAGGACCTGTAGTATAAAATACCAGCCCAGGCTTTCCTACAGGCTTGTTGAGCCATACACCAATGAACACAAGGAATTCTCACAAGTGGAGCAGAACTCTTCTTTCTAGGACAGAACTGGCAGAGACTTGGCATTCCATGAACGTTAGCACTCTAGGTAACTTGATGCTGATGCAGCTGAATGGACAGGAGGAGGGAGCAAGAAAAAACAGCTTGCAGGTGGTGTAAGATCTGGCAGCCCTCACCACTACTTTGTCTTCCAAGATTCTTATTAGTTGTTAGTTCTTCTCTGCTCGTAGAACGACCGCTAGTTATGGTTATGAACAACCACTAGTTAGTTATGCCATTTTGTCACCTACACCTATTGGGGACTGTTTGTTATCCATACTGCAATCAGAGATGTAATTGCTGTGTGTGTAGATGTGCTTTTATCTAGCTAACTCGGCTGTTGATATTTGTAAAGATATGACACCATAGACTCAGTGCTGATGTAAAATATTCAGACACATACACATATATTCTTAATAAATCTGGCCCAATGGGTTTTAGATGCAGCTGGAAGATCAAGGAGGAGTTATGCAAGGTACAACTGGAGAAAGACAGATCAGGAGGAGGAAGGATTGAAAGATAGATTTGGACTGTATCAGCATGCAGACAGTAGATAACACTGAGAGGATAGATGAAGTGACCTGGAAGGAAGGAAGAGAGGATAGAGCCCTAAGATAAACTAATATGGTGTTGGGTGAAGCACAAAGAAAGTGCTGCCGGCTCAAGAAGAAGGAAAGGGACCAGGAGAGCCAAGTAGTACAGAAGCCTCAGGAAAGAAGTAAATGCAGACCAACTGATTGATTGATTAAAGGATGAAAAGAGATCAAGTGAAATATTCAGAAAGAAATGGTCTAGCATTCCTGAGATTTGAAGCTCATTAATGAACTGGATATGAATGATTTTCTTGATGCCAGACAGTGTAAGACAAGCTGGCAGAGGCAAGGGGACAGAGAGAATCAAGAACAGAGTTGAAGGAGAAGTCTGGGTAACAGGAGTAAATAATATACTCAACAATAAGGATCTTGGAAGCAAAAGATTTGCCACAGCAAAAACATTGAAAGAGGATATATGCAATTTTGGAGACATCTCTTGTGTATATGTAGACCAGAGGGCAGAGAGATATGGAACAAAGAAAGCAACAGAAAAAGGGATTACGAAAAGCAAGAATGGATGAGGTCTACGGGACAATACCTAAAAATGACAGGCATAGGGGCTTTTGCAGAAAAGATAGGGCTGTTCTTCATAGCCATGCCTGAAGTTTTTCTTGGCTTTCAGTAAAAGTTTGTGTGACATCCAAATGATGATGCAGTAATTGCCTCAGAGATATGGCACTAAAATTAATGCGTAAAGACAGGCAGAGGCAGAGAGAGACATTGAAGCATATTTGCAGAGACAGATGAGTTAACCTGTTAGAGACAGCCTTTCATTTACCTTTGTTGTTTACATGGGTAAACAACTAAGGTAAATGAAACCTTGACTTGAGTGGCATCTAAGGGCACAACCTGATGCACTAGATAGAAAATATGTTGTTGCACAGATCACTATGTAGGATGTTGTTGTAGGATTCAAATGAGATGGCTTCTAAAAGAAAGAATACACATCACATGACCATACATTTTAAACACTACTAAAGCAGAAGAACACTTTCTTGGCCAGATTCTGATGCCTTTACTCATATTGACTAGTAGTGTACTTCACAAGCTGGCATCAAAAGGTCTATGGTGCAGTAAGGTGCTCACCATGAAGCAGAGCATCAGATTGTGAGCAGCCTGTGGAAGAAAAGCCTTCCCATATATCTTTGAAATTTGCTGATAACAATGTAGTTGAGAAGCTGGAATCAAGTTTTGCTCACAGATGGGTCCCAGCTCGAAAAGTGTGCAGACCAAGAACATCGGATGATTTGAAGTATGACTTCACTGTACTTCAATGCATTCAAAAATGGAAATATAAATCATGGTGATAACTTCTGCTAATGTTTTTGGAGGCTGCATCTCAAAGGATGAAAAAGGGAAACACAAGATAGAACAGACATTTGGCTGGCAATGTAACGTATTAATCACAGGGCTAGAAACTAAAAGATCTCAGCTCTGTGCCTGGCTCTGCAGGTGAATTGTTTTGCAACTTTTGCCAAATCACTTAGCCTCTGTCTCTGTTTCTCTCTAAACTCTAACATCTATATTTAGATGTTAAACCCTTTGGGCCAAATACTCTTCCAATGTGTTTTTTGTACACTACTTCATACAGTAGAGTTCCAATCTCTGTTGAAGCCTCAAGACAGTACTGCAATACCAGTATAATATATATTAAATAATTTAGGGGCCAAATTCTTCTGTTAGATTTGCAATATACTAGTGGATCTTATCTCTACTACTTTGCTGCCTCACTGACACTAAGTTCCCCCTGGCAGATTTGAGGAGAGAATGATAATCTTGATGCACATAAATATAACTAAATCATTAAGCAAGAAGAAATATATCCAATGAGGTGTTTAAATGTAGCAAAGTTCTGTAGCATAATGATGAATACAAACCTATAGCCAAAGTGGCTAAAACCTATGGGCATGTGTAGACAAAATGAGGGCCCTAAATTGAAGTGGTGGGTTTTTAAAAACACTGCTTGAATTTAGGGCGAAGTAAACCCCCATGTCGTGTACATCCGTGTCTTACCTGCCTCTCTGGCAGCGGGGAGGGGAGGGCGAGCTGCCGGTGGGCGGAGCAGTCTCTGGGCTGCAAGTGTTGGGGCTGGTGCTTTCCTCTGCAGCATCAGTGGGCCCCCCACCCCAGGCATCACCTGTCCGCAGGCACCCTGATCAGGCGGTCCCAGGGGGCACTGCAGCCGCAGAGAGAAGGACCAGGTCCCTGTGCAGCTCATGTAGGCAGGCAGGCTCCGGG